GAGCCAGTTTCGCGTCGTCAGCTTATACATGTACATCTCTCAATTATATTATATTATATTATATTATATTATATTATATTATATTATATTATATTATATTATATTATATTATATTATATTATATTATATTATATTATATTATATTATATTATATTATATTATATTATATTATATTATATTATATTATATTATATTATATTATATTATATTATATTATATTATATTATATTATATTATATTATATTATATTATATTATATTATATTGTATTATATTGTATTATATTGTATTATATTGTATTATATTGTATTATATTGTATTATATTGTATTATATTATATTATATTATATTATATTATATTATATTATATTATATTATATTATATTATATTATATTGTATTATATTGTATTATATTGTATTATATTGTATTATATTGTATTATATTGTATTATATTGTATTATATTGTATTATATTGTATTATATTATATTATATTATATTATATTATATTATATTATATTATATTATATTATATTATATTATATTATATTATATTATATTATATTATATTATATTATATTATATTATATTATATTATATTATATTATATTATATTATATTATATTATATTATATTATATTATATTATATTATATTATATTATATTATATTATATTATATTATATTATATTATATTATATTATATTATATTATATTATATTATATTATATTATATTATATTATATTATATTATATTATATTATATTATATTATATTATATTATATTATATTATATTATATTATATTATATTATATTATGTGATGTGATGTGACGTGACGTGACGTGACGTGACGGGACGGGACGGGATGCGTGCGATGCGATGTGATGTGATGCGATACGATACAATACGACATGCTATCGTGTCGTGTCGTGTCGTGTCGTGTCGTGTCGTATCATATCATATCATATCGTATCGTATCGTATCGTATCGTATCACATCGTATCGTATCGTTTCGTTTCGTATCGTATCGTATCGTTTCGTATCGTATCCTATCGTATCGTATCCTATCCTATCCTATCCTATCTTATCATATCATATCATATTGTTGGGTCAATAGGCCTGATAACAGGTCAGCCCATTATCCCTTAACACGGGATCCATCAAGGCCCATATTGGGTACAGTTCAGCAGAGGACTTGGCAGACGCTCGTCGGGTGGACCACGAGGAAGATGACGCTCGTCCTAGGAGTCCAGGGCCCAACAAGGGTGAGATGATATTGCGGGATCCTCGACTGCAGTACACACCGATCATACAGTTCCTCTTCCTTGCAGGATTCTAGGCCCAATCTTGCCATGATTCACCAGAATGCCGTCAAGACGCTCGACCTCAGCGTCCTTTGCCCAACAAGTTCCAGGTGACATTCTAGGATCCTCGGCCAGATAACTGGCATGAGCCGCACGTAACCCAGCCCTTGCACCTCCAGAACCCAGGAGCTTAGATCAAGGGACGCTCGTCCAGTGCCCATCGCGGGAAACCAAGATATTAACGGGAAGCACATTTAATGGAGTGGACGGATTTGGTGGTTGGAAAGCTGGCTACCCACAATCCTCCACATCAGCAACACTATCTACTCTTGGTAGTATAAATAGTACTCCCTCCGTCCCATAAAATTCTTCTCAGGGCCGATTGATCCGCCGCTGCTTTCTCCTTGACAGCTTTAGCCTTGGCGTTTTTGGCAGCCCAGGCGAGTTTTAGAGCGTCGTGATCCATTTGTTGTTGAGTGGGTGGAGGACCTGAAACAAAAACGAAGGATGTTAGAACTGGACGGTGGATCCAAGAAGGATGCTTACCTTACTGGGGGGACCGCCCGATGGTGTCCTTAAGGTGCTTGATTGAACAATGAGGAGTTCTATACACTCATAGATGTTTGTGTGGGTTTGGGTTTGATAAGTCAAGGTTATTGACTCTAATAATTTTCCCAAGTAAACAATGACGCACAGATCATATATTTTCCAAGTGTATATACTAATATGTATATAGAGACTTGGGCGGAAGATATAAGTATATGTATCACCCTATGTTTGGGTCTTATACTTGAAACGTTAGTTATTCTACATTTAGCTCGCTGCTTGCTCGATATTCGCGTACTGATCCCTTCGGGGGGGCACCATTTTCAGGTTGAAGCTAGAGCTTGCTACCCGCACCATTGCACGAGTGAAGTGATCTCAAGGGAGATGTAGTTCGTGCTTCCTTTACCGTTTTGAACTATAACCTATGCTCATAGATATCTTGTAATGAATACTTTGTTTTGGGCTTACGAGCCCACGTTTTGCCATATGTGGCCCATGATTGACTATTGAATATATTCGTTATTCATTCAATCTAAATTGTGACGTTGTTATGCATGTTTACTTACTGAGTATGGTATGAACAATGTTCATGAACGTCTTGTGCAATCGAGTGAGTGTGACTCGTGGGTGACGTGACATTATTGTACGACGGTTGTACACACGCCTACATGCGGTCTGGGGCGTGGCATGTATGAGGGAGCACTTCGTTATTCTTCCTCGGGATCCAGGTGATGTGATGATTCATCAGCATGCACGGGCATACATTTTGATGCTAATGGAAGTTTCCACTTTTACTGACAAGAATGGAAATGAGGTTCAAGTGTTGTACTTTCTGATTCTAAAGAGTTTTGATGTCGCTGCATACTTCTGTTGGGGTAGTGTCACTTTAGCTTATCTGTATAAGCAGCTGTGTCGAGGTTGCAGGGTGGGAGCACAGAGATTGTTTTTTGCTTTTATTAAAGATTTGGTCATGGGAGTACATTCACATTGGCCACCCCATTTGTAGTACGATACCATGGGCTAGATGGACACCACTTCATGGTCAGCCTCCACGACTCCTTGGACCACATCATCGACGAGGCGAGGACCCTCTAGGGCATCAATATGTTTTAGAAGAGCATATTTATTTTATTGTATGTTCTGAATAATTATATTAATTATATTTATATTAATATATACTGTATGAATGGTTACATGATTATTTGCTGATCTTTCTCGCACATCATCGACGGCTGGTCTCAGCTACTATAGGGATGCATTTGATCGCATGTCTGATGATCAAGTTCGGTGTACAAAATATAACATTAACTATCATATGAATAACAGTAAGACTAATTTTTTATCCTTATGAAACAGATTTCATGGATGCCATGTACAACCGAGATGTTAGAGGAGTTGCCCCCGGCAGGATGAGAGCATTATGATATATGGCGAGTATGTGTGCCATTGATATGTTTTGACACTGTTGAGCTTTATTTTCCTGATCGTGTACTGCATCAGTTTGGCTATAAGCAGATCATTCCAGCAGCCATGGACACATGTGTGGATCTTCATAAGCTGAATTGACGTGGGAAGCCTCTACAAAGGATTGGTCGCTCAGACATGTCCGATACGTTACTATACGGTAAGTGTGCAACTAACTACTAAAGTAATTCATGTTCTTTATTTAACATTTTTTTTGAAAATAATTATAATTCATGTTGCATATTTCAGATATGGGCTTTGCAGCGTATACATGAGCGAGCGACTGACACAGTGAGTGAGACGCATAACGTGAACACGTACAGTCAGGGTTTGACGGATATTGTTTTGTGGTGTTCAGATGTGTTGGGCCGAGTGTACTATGAGCATCTTACACACATGACCTCCTCTCAAGGTTGTATGACATCTACATCTACTGCAGCAGCTTCTACATCCCAGAGTCGGCGTGACAGAGTTGTTCTTCAACCACGTCAGCGGCGTAGGCGTATGCGTCAACAGCCACATCTCCGACGACCAAAATGATCAAGAAGACCATGGAAACTTGTAGTACGTCTCCATTATTGGACTTATTCATGTACCCCGAATATTGTAGAAGTTTTTTGAATATGTGAAACACTTTACTTTTTAACGTATGTCCACCTGCAAACTATCAGATATTATGTTATTAGTTACTTAATCATTTATTTACGATGTGTTGATGTGTTGGGTTATGCATATTGGATGTCTGTACTGTATTTTTTATATTGTGTTTGAGACCAGGTGCATTGCCATGTTTCTGTCGTATTCTGTTATGTCTTTACCTGTTTTTTGATGTTTCTGTTTTTGCAGGTGCAGGGGCAAAATCGCCAAACCATTTGGCGACTTATAAATCGTCATTCCGGTTGGCGACTTATAAGTCACCAAAGTGTTTGACGACTTTGCCCAACCCGAGTTAAGCCTAGTAGTATATGCGAAAATACTTTTAACTCAAACACAATTACGTAAATATTTATTTAAATCACATGAATTCGGAAAAAACGAATCATATGTAATTTAGTTTGACTTTGATAGTATTTCGATCTTTCAAATCGTATTAAATCAAACCAAACTGAATAAAACCACAAAAAGATTAAATCGAACCGATCAAACTAAAAAAGCCACTAAGATATTAATATATTTTGGGGAAAAGGTGCAAATAAGCCATCGAACTAACCGAAAAAGTGCAAATCACCCCTTTTATAGGAGGCTCTGTTCGGCCGTCGCCATTTTGTGGCGGTTCCCGGTGAATTTTTTGATGAATTTTTTTGAACATCTTATTCATTAAGTCTAGTTTACCCATACCAAATTTCAGCTAAAAATTCAACCGGGAAGGCAGTCATAAGATTTTCTGAAATATACTGCGCTGTTTAACTGCGTAATTATCTTCAAACATTTATTTGATTGCCTTCCCAATTGCATCTTTAGCTGAAATTTGGTATGAGTAAACTAGACTTAATGAAGAAAATGCTCAAAAAAATTCATCAAAAAATTCACCGGGAACCACACCAACTGTCGATGGCCGGACAGAGCCTCATATAAAAGGATTAAAAGGATTGATTTGTATTTTTTTAGTTCGAGAAACACGGTACGGACTATGGAGTATCTTTTTTCTTTGATTGAAATCAATATGTACACATTAAAATTTAACTCCCGCGGAGTTACTTCCCTCCATAAAAAAAGCGAATAATGGTTGGCCGAAGTTGCGGAAACAGCAGTAGGCGATGGATTGCGGAATGATATCAGTTGACCGGTGGGGGAGCGGAAGTCAAGCGTACTTCCTCACCCACCTCCACGCCGACCACACCCAGGGCCTCTCTCCCTCTTGGCGGCGGGGCCCGCTCTTCTGCTCCCGCGTCTCCGCCAAGCTCTTCCCTTCCAAGTTCTCTGGCTTCGACCTTTCCCTCCTCCGCGTCGTTGATATCGGCACCTGGTACCCCCTCTCCCTCGTGTCCCCTTCATCCAGCTCCTTCTCCACTGTTAACTTCTTGGCCATCGACGCTTATCACTGCCCCGGTATGCGGTCAAATAGTCATTTATTGTTAAAGCTTTAATTGTCATGCCATTTGCGTTGCCCAGTGGCCACAAAGTGCTCGACACTGTGCCTCAATCAAGTGTGGCCACAAAGTGCTCGACGCTTTGGCTCAAGACCCAGGCAGTTAAGTTTGGGATATGGCGTAAAACCGTGCTTTGAATTTGATTTCAAAAAAACAATATGTTAGTTCTTTTGTGTTTGATTAAAATGGTCTAAAAGGGGGATTGGGAGCTCTGTTTGAAGCATCTTACCGCTTGTGTTGAGCAGTGGAGAGATATCCTTACTCATTTTGAGCCCATTTAATTCTGTTGTTAAGTTAAACTATGCAGATGCTTTTTCACAACTATGCACATACCCTTTTTACCCAACTATGTATAAGTTTAGGAATTAGGATACAATATTCGTGGCTTTTTTTACATTGCATTAGGCAATATGTTGTGCTGTAATTAGTAATGTGGTTTGTGCACAATGACCTCGTCCTAAATATGGGGATTCCTGATGGACTTTTCTTGTTTTCCCAACAATAGTTCTAGTATTTTTTCCAAGATACTAGCCTAGTCTCTAAGATCATAGAAACTTCCCACGGCTCACGTTTTGCCTTTAGAAACTAACATGATGTAAAAAGGCGCTTACAAGGCGGGTTTTGAAGCACGCCTCAAGGTGAGGCGTATAGAGAAAGTACAAGGGCTTGGTTTTTTTTATCAAATTCAAGAGGCTTACGCCTCAAAAGTTGAGGTGTATGCCTTAAGGCGCTTTCTAAGGCGTGATTTCCTTTATTTCTATCTTTTAATGGGTTGTAACTTAAGAAAAGCCCAATGTATTTTATTTAAAAGGAGGCCCATACATTAAACACGTGTCCATAGTTCACATTAAACCCCTAACAAGTCTTCATTCATTTAAAGAATTCATTAATCGTTAAAATGTTTGCATACTTCTTCTGCACAAAGAAGTTTTCATTCTCCTGCACAAAGAAGTTGACAACTTCTTACACACACTCCATTCTTCCAGGTAATTTCTCTTCTCCTCATCTACTCCTCTTCTTCTACATCTCCTCTCCTTCTTCATCTTCTCTCCTTCACTTCTTCTCCTTGTACTGAGTTGTTGGTCATGTTTTCCTAAAACTAGTCAAGGTTTTATAGACACCTCAAAGATAGACACCTTAATTTAAGATCCCAAACTAATGATGGGGAAAATCTTTTGGCTGATGACAAGTGGCTTGTGCTCATATATGTGTTCGTGTTTGATACCTTATGAACTTATAATTGTGCATTTCTTTAGTTGTTTATTACTAGTTTAACTATTTAAAAAAAATCTTTTAGTATAACTATTTTAAGTTTTATCTGTTGGTATTTTTGAGGCTTACGCGAGTTACGCCTCAATACGCCTTGAGGCTTACACCTCATCTCTCCGAAACAAACCACCTAGATACCCGAACTAGCCTTCTTAAACCTTGGAAACTAAGAAGCGCGTCGGAAACTCAAAAACTTCAAATTCTCATTTCTTTGTTTGATTAAGAACTAGGAAACCCGCTTTTTGCAATAAACTATAGTCTAGAAACTTTGGGTTTTCAATATTTTCATGATGGAAATTAATGCCTGTTTATAGATTTTTTGTGAGATTGTATCACAACATCATCTTTGTTGATATTTCAAAGCGCAGTGCATCATGAGAAAAATATTGTAATTTACATTTACTCTTGTATTAGTATGTCATAATTAATATTGGTCATGTATACTATTTTATTATATGGAAAACATATGTATACCTATGTTTATGAATATCTATACATATGTTAGAAAGACATATTTGATAAAATATCCTTATATTATCTTATATATTTACACATTCCCTTCACGTTTCTGTATTCTAGAAATTTCAAAAATACACTTCCCGCATTTTACGTTTCATGTTTCGGCACTATAATTGTAGCAGCAGTTGTTGTTATTATTAATTTATTATTATTGTTTGTTTGGTTCAGGAGCAGTCATGTATCTGTTTCGTGGTGAATTTGGATGTATGCTTTACACGGGTGATTTTCGTTGGGAAGAAACAAGTGATAGAGCACTTATAGGAAGGGAAATGTTACTTAATGCTCTGAAGGATGTAAAACTTGATTACCTATACTTAGATAATACCTATTGTAATCCAGCATATACCTTTCCTTCTCGTGAAGTGGCTGCTAAGCAGGTGCATCCTCTTTACTCATCCTGTAATTAATAAGCACATTTTTCTCCCTTAGACTGATTATCGGTCAAAATTGATTTGTTGTTGATCAGATAAAGATATCTATCCAAACAAGCCGTTTTTGTATTTTCTACTGATATTGAAATATGATGATGCTCATCAGTAAACTTAAACTCCATATAAAAGTCTTGTTCTACAATTTTTATTTTACCTTCACCTTCTGTCCGTATCTGTTAAACTTTACTAGATAAAAAAAACTTTCTATAGTAGCTATTGTGATTTGTGAGTTAATTGTCTGAGGCTTAAGGCAATTAATCATTCGTTTGCAGTTACTAAAAAAGTTGAATCTTCAAGTGCCATATGAGGAAAAAAGAGGGGGAAAGGGTCAAATGGACCTTTCTACTATTTAAAATCCATCACCTAAGCCCCCATACTAAAAAAGTATAATATGAGCATGCTTACTTTGAAAACACAATCACTCAAGCCATTTTGACCTACTATAGCAGATTAATTTTGAAAAAACAAATTAGGATAATTAATAAATCTTTCATAAATTCATATAAATTTGAAAAAGTAATGTAATAGTAATATAAAAAAGAGAAGAGGCGAAGAAGCCCTCGAACTATTTGCGATTCTGCAATCAAGCCCTTGAGTCGGAAAACTTGCACATACATGATACACCCTTCAACTCGTTGAAAATAAGCTATCAGATCATTTTTTACCTGCTTGTGCAGGTAAAAAGACGAGAATTTACCGGCACCAACAGGTAAAAAGGTTCTGATTGCATAATTTTTAACGGGTTGAGGGGTGTATCTGCAAGTCTTCCGGTTCATGGGCCTGATCGCAAAAACGCAAATAGTTCGAGGGCTTATTTTCCCATTTTCTCTATAAAAAATCGTATAAATGAAAAAAAGATATATAATTTAAAAAAATTAAAATTAAAGAATAAAAAATCAGAAAATGAAAAAAGTGAATATTAAAAAAATATAAAATTAAAATCTAAAAACTTTTAAAAATATGTAGAATATACAAATAATTCCTAAAACGGAAAAATTTAGAGTTTGTCATTCTTAAATTGTTCAGAGATTTTATTTATATTTAGTCGAATTTTAACAATTTTTAGAGTTTTAATATAAAAAACGTGCTATTATAGGTCAAAAACCGATTAATTGGCTGGATCGAATGATTTTTTAAAGTAAGCGTACTTCAATGATGCTTTTTTTAGTATAAGTGTTTAAGTGATGGACTGGGAAATAGTTGAAGTGTCTATTTGTTGGTTTAGTTAATGACAAAAAACTTTTGAATGTTAACAGATGTTACATATGGTTTCTTTCCCTTGAACTATATTCATTACATTCTGAGAATAGTTTAGCTCTGAGTGTGTAAAATAGTTGCACAAAATATTGCATACCTTCTCTGTGGCTGTAGGTGTTGAATATCATTGCCTCTTATCCAGAGCATGACATTGTTATTGCTATTGACTCTCTGGGGAAAGAAAACCTTTTGGTATACATATCTCGTGCACTTAAGGTAAAGGTATGTAGATTTTCACTTTTCACTGATCAGATATACTTCTTTCCTTTTTATCCTCATGAAATTAAACTACCTGCTAACTTTTATATATTGTGACCTTATTATTATACAACGGGTGGGGTAAGGGGGTCAGATGTACGCAGTCTTACCCCTGTACTAAAGCACAAAGAGACTGTTTCCGGATGATCCATAGTGAAAATCCCGTCCAAAATTGCATGGACTGACTGCTGCTTCATAACAAAGAAGCGCAGACAGTTTAGTGAGCCATTTTGCTTTATTCCATCATAATCTCAAACCAAAAAATAATGAATCTTTGGCTCCATTGCAAATGATGGAAAAATAATAAGAGATTGTGACCTTATTATGTATGACAAAATTTGCTTATACAAGATGCTAATATTATTATACTTTGTAATGAATTGCTCTAAATAGGAGTAAATGAATGTGAAATTTCAAAATATGAGTAGTATGTTTTTCTCCTTAAATAAGAGTTATTACTATCATGCTCCGAAAATACTGTCATATTAATGCCTGATAATACCAAAATATGGCAGTATGATACCTAGATTATAGGATGACAATAACTTTCTCCTATTCAGGGAAAAATATAATACCAATATTTTGGAATTTCACAATGTTTTTACACTCCTATTTCGGGAAATATCCCATCTATTATCGGTACTTATTTTCTGTTATTTTGAAACATGTATACACAAGAAAAGAGTGTTTCTTGAAAACCAAAATCCACTGAAGGATTAAATTCACATAAAAGATCTACAGTAAGATAATATTTAGTTTTGGAAAATCTTTCAGACTTCTTATACTTCACGACTTCATACAGCACTGGGTACAATACCTTTTAGGTTCTGTTTGGCATTAAAAGCTATCAGATTTGTTTAAGAAAGCTATTCAAATAAGCTTTGTTTGGTTGGGAAAACTTATTTGATGTGTTTGAGCTAAATTAATAAGCTTCTCTGAGTAGCTTTTCAAAAAGCTAAACAATTCTTTTTTGAATATTTATTGATCCCATTTGAAACACAGTTTTATGTCATTTTATTTACTCCCTCTATCAAAATAACTGTCCCAATTTCCTTTTCGAGTTGTATCAAATTAATTGTCGCATTTCCCTTGGAAAGAAATCTATCCTAAAGGCAGCTACAATACACATTAATACAGTACCTACTTGATACCAAAAATCTCTTTCTTTTTGTAAAGTCTACGGTAATTATCTTAAATTATGTGAAAAAGCAAATGTGACAGTTATTTTGATACGAAGGGAGTATTGAAGTTAGCTTATTAACAATTCATACCAAACGCCATATCTAAGATCAGCTAGCTTATCAAATATAAGCGATAAGTTATAACTTATAACTGACTTATCAATCGTTAGCTGACTTATCAAGTAGCTTATTAGCTTGTTTTGTCAAACGCCTCATATCTGCAAAAAACAACAACTGCTGACTCCTGACTTATGTTTGCTTACACACACACACACACACACACACACACTAATACTTGTCAATTAGGCAATTCACATTTGTTATTTCTTCACATTTGTTACAGATATGGGTGTGGCCGGAACGCCTGCGAACCATGCATCTCCTCGGTTTCCATGACATTTTCACAACCAAAACTTCTCTTACTAGAGTCCGTGCAGTCCCCCGTTACAGTTTTAGTATAGAGACTTTAGAATGCCTGAATATGATACGCCCCACCATCGGAATTATGCCATCTGGACTTCCATGGGTATTGAAAACCAATAAGGGAAAGCCCAATCCTTTTGGTCCAGATAGATACCATCAGTACATATACACTGTTCCATACTCTGACCATTCTTGTTATCCCGAAATACAAGACTTTGTGAAACTTTTAACTCCAGTTAATATTGAAGGCATCGTCACTTCTGCCACTTCTTACATTAACAACCCCTTGTACTACTTTGGACATCTTTGTGGGACACAGCATACACCACAGGTGGTATCACACCAGCAGCTAGAAACCACAAGAAGTGGCAATTCCAAGTTAAAAAGGAAGAGTGTTATTAAAAAGTTGCAGCAGAGGGGGGGTCGGGTGTGTAGGGCTAGCATACTAAGGAGAGTGCGGCGAGGGGTAAAGGTTCTTGAATCAGAAGATAGTTTTGTTTAATTTGTGTCTATTACTCTATTATGTATGTGTGTGTGGTAATCTACAATAATTAGGTTCCAGTAGTTTGATTGTCTATCATTATTACATGCACTGTTTTCGCGTATTTGCTCTTGCGTTCGTTATAACCGCATATTAATTTCAATAATTTGACTTACACTATTTACATACTCCCCTGTCTCATTCCAACTTTCCAAGGTTCACACTTTCTTTTTTTAGACGTTTCATACAAACGTTCACACTAATTAGACCTTAACACTATTTACTTTCGTTAATCATCAAATATTTAAAACAATACATCTATAACATCACAGTTATTATTTGATGACCTCATTATATTATATATCCATTAAAATTATTTCTCAAAATATACTTGAATAATTTTATTTAATTATTGCTCATTCAATTAAAATGAGGTTGTTCATTTTACAATGAGAATCTTCAAGAGGACAGATGTAGTACTTGAATTAAACATACTTCCTTCGTCCCTTACAAAATTCACACAAATCAGGCTAACTGATAGATGCGGGAAGAATGAGAGGACAATTCGGTACATGTCTACTCTTTAATACATTAAAATACTAAGACAAATGTTGGTTGTGCTTTATATGAAATACTCCGTATATGCTAAATGTTGGGCTGCCCAGATCATGCGAAACTAGCATCCTAATCTTCAAAGTGAAACCCTGTTAGACATGCAGCAAGGCAGTCGGTGAAATTCTATAATAAAGTGTATAAAAGAAGAGTTAATAGGGATGTTGCTATTAACTAATAACTAACGGGTTAGTTAGTTAGTTATTGTCCCTGCGTGGACATTACTATAAATAGAAGTGCTCTGCTAGCTGAAGGTAGTTTTTGGACTTCGCTAGAACAGGACTGGGAGATTAGGCATCTCGAATTGTCTTCAATTGTGTAATCTGATTTGGTGAATAAAGTGTGTGATCTGTGTGTTGATTTTGAACAATTCTGTACTCGATAGTGTATGATCTATCATTGGTATCAGAGCATTACGCTCCTGGAGATTTTCGAAGTGAGAAGATTCAGAAACTTTGTTCGTCCGAACTTGAATGGTTAAAACGAGAGCAAGAATGGATCGCCGTTTGGATTCGATGGAACAAAAACAGCAGGAAACGCAATCCGCGTTGGAAGTTCTCGCAGCTAAGATTGATGCGATGGCGACACAGTTTCAGAACCGAGGAAGGTCGCGAACACCTCAAACTCATCATACGAGGGAGTCGCGCAGTCCGATACAATCCAAAGGTAAATCGGTTCACTCTCTTGTTCATAATGATCGACGGAACAATGAGTATAGAAGAGCACAGATTAGTAAGGTAGATTTACCTTTATTCAATGGCGAAGGAGCCTATAATTGGATAATACGAATGGAGAGATATTTCCGTTTGAATCACATTGAGGAGGAAGAAAAAGTTGAAGCATCTATGATCGCAATGGAGGATAGAGCACTTAACTGGTTCCATTTGTGGGAGAATCAGACGGAAGAAACAAGTTGGGAGGCTTTGAAGAAATCTGTCATTCGCAGATTTCAACCAGAATTGATTCAGAATCCGTATGGACCAATGTTAAGTTTGAGACAAACTGGAAATGTGCAAGATTATCGAGAAGAGTTCGAAATGGTGATAGCTCCACAGTTGCATATGGATGTGGAATTGCTGCGAGGGGTATTCATGTCAGGTTTGAAGGAGGAAATAAAATCTGAACTGAAGATGTATGCATCCAGATCTTTAACCGAGATCATGGATAGAGCTGTACTCATTGAACAGAAGATAGAAACACAATTTGGAAGAAAGAAGGAAGAGGATAAACTGACAATGAAGGAAAGAGGTGCTGTACCAGTCAGGGGACAGAGTTGGGGAGATAATTCCAGAATAAAATCTGGTTACAACTGGTCATCTCAGAGTAAAATAGTAGCTGAGAATAAGTATAATAATACTGGAATGGATAAGACTGGTAAGAAGACCATTGATTCTTATCCAACTGGATTCAAAAGAACAGGACCTTTGTTATCTCAAGAGGAATTTCAGGAAAGGAGTAGAAAGGGGCTATGTTTTAAATGTGGTGAAAAGTGGAGTAAAGAACATACTTGTAAATTGAAAAATTTCAAGTTGATGTTGGTTGAAGAAGCAGTTGAGGATGAACAGCCAGAACAAATTGAAGATACCATACCAGAAAATATCTGTCAGGAAGTATTGGAATCTAAATCTATGCAGTTATCTTTGATGAGTAAAGAAGGGATTCCTACCATGAGGGCATTCAAAGTGCAGGGGATTCTGAAGGGAGGATCAAGAGATCAACATGTGAATGTGTTGATTGACAGTGGGGCTACCCACAACTTTATTTCACAGCAGTTGGTGGAGCAATGGAAACTACCTTTTCAGACAGTTTCTGATTACAAAGTGCAGATTGGTAATGGGGATTATATAGCCAATAACAAGAAGTGTCCTCAATTGACATTAAACTTGCAAGGAGCTGAGATAATACAAGATTTTTATATCCTAAAATTAGGGGGCACTGATTTGGTATTGGGTATGGATTGGTTGACAAGTTTGGGAGATGTAGAGATAAACTTTCAGAGACAGATAATTAAATGGAAACAGGGGAAGCAGGAGGAGTGCATTCAAGGAGATCCCAAACTGAATTCAATGGAAGTGTCCTTGAAGACATTCTCACAAATATTATGTGATAATGGAGATGGTTATTTTTTATATTGTGAAGGAAGGAACATGGAAAAGGAACAAGAAGGAGGACTGGAAACCATATGGAAGCAGATTTTGGAAGAATTTCCAGAAATTACAAAACCTAGAGAAGGTTTACCTCCCAGAAGAAATTGTGATCATTCTATACTGATTCGGGAGGGAGCTAAGATACCTAATATCAGACCTTACAGGTACCCACAGTACCAGAAGACTGAAATAGAGAAGATTGTGAAAGAAATGCTTGATTCTGGGATTATTCAGAATAGCAATAGTCCTTACAGCAGTCCTATACTCTTAGCCAAGAAGAAGGATGGTGGATGGAGGTTCTGTGGAGATTACAGAGCCCTTAACAAAATCACAGTTCCTGACAAATATCCAATCCCAATAATTGAAGAACTACTTGATGAACTTGGGGAGGCTACCATATTTTCTAAGTTGGATCTAAAATCTGGCTACCATCAGATAAGGATGAAAGAAGAAGATAGGATGAAGACTGCTTTCAGAACACATGAGGGCCATTATGAATATTTAGTAATGCCCTTTGGTCTAACTAATGCTCCCTCTACCTTCCAAGCTTTGATGAATCAGGTACTAAGGCCTTATTTGAGAAAATGTGCCTTAGTCTTTTTTGATGATATCTTGGTATACAGTAGAACTAAGGAGGACCACATTGAGCATTTGAGAGCAGTCCTATCTGCTTTGAGGGATAATCAGTTGGTGATTAACCCAAGGAAATGCTCTTTTGGACAACCTCAATTAGTCTACTTGGGGCATATTATTTCTGGAGTAGGAATAACAGCAGACCCTACCAAGATTGAAGCCATGGTTACTTGGCCAAAACCCCAGAATTTAAAGGAGTTGAGAGGGTTTTTGGGGTTAACTGGCTATTACAGAAAATTTGTTAAGGGGTACAGTAAAATTGCAGCACCCCTTACACAACTCCTAAAGAAAGACAGTTTTCAGTGGGGAGAACAAGCTACACAATCTTTTGAGGAGTTAAAAAGAACCATGACTTCACTCCCAGTCCTAGCTACACCTAACTTCAATAAAACATTCATTCTGGAGACTGATGCTTCTGGAACTGGGTTAGGTGCAGTTCTCATGCAAGAAGGCAGACCTGTGGCTTTCATGAGCAAGATATTATCTAAAAGAAACCAAAACAAATCAGTTTATGAAAGAGAGCTCTTGGCTATTATGTTAGCAGTACAGAAGTGGAGACCCTATTTGTTGGGAAGAACTTTTGAGATTGTAACTGACCAAAAGAGTTTGAAGTTTCTGATAGAGCAAAGACTTATGGGTGAAGAACAACAGAAATGGACCTCTAAGTTGTTGGGGTACAATTTCATCATCAGATACAGACCTGGGGTAGAAAACAAAGCTGCTGATGCTCTCTCTAGAAGACCTATGCTCCAGTCTCTTTCAATTGTGACATGTCAGGAATGGGATGGATTGGAAGAAGAATTGAAGGCTGACATCAAATGTGCAGAGTTGATTCAGAAGGTGATTTCTTATCCAGATCAATATTCAGAATTTCAGATCATTAAGGGTTTGTTATATTATAACAAGAAACTAGTTCTACCTCAAGGATCACCCAGAATCATAAAGATCATGAGGGAAAATCATGAAACTGCCATGGGAGGGCATTCAGGATATTTTAGAACCATGAAGAGAGTATCCAGTCTTTTCTTTTGGCAGGGTATGAGGAAGGATATAAAGAAGTGGGTGGAAGAATGTGTGGTTTGTCAGACTAATAAATATCAAGCTTTGAAGCCTGCAGGACTGCTACAACCACTCCCTATACCAAATAGCAGTTGGACTGACATTAGCATGGATTTCATTGGAGGATTACCCAAATCACAAGGGAAGGATACTATACTGGTGGTGGTGAACAGATTAACTAAATATGCTCACTTTATTGCCTTGTCACATCCCTACAATGCTAAGGAGGTAGCTGGTATGTTCATTAAAGAAGTGGTCAGATTACATGGATTCCCTAAAACTATAGTCAGTGACAGAGATAGTGTTTTCCTCAGTGCTTTTTGGTCTGAACTATTCAAATTGGCTGGGACACAATTGAAGTACAGTACAACTTATCATCCTCAGACTGATGGTCAGACTGAGGTGGTTAACAGATGCTTGGAAACTTATCTCAGGTGTTTAACAGGAAGAAAACCAAAAAAATGGCTTAATTGGTTACATTGGGCTGAATATTGGTACAATACTAACTATCATGCTGCACTGAAAACTACCCCTTACAAGGCTCTATTTGGACAGGATCCTCCTGCAGTAATTAGAGGAGATGTTACAGTTACTGCAATAGAAGAAGTTTCAAAATTGACTGCTCAGAGGAATATAATATTGGATGACTTGAAAGAGAATTTGGCCAAGGCTCAGAACCAGATGAGGCAGCAGGCCAATAAACACAGGAGAGAGGTTACATTGGAGATAGGGGATCAGGTTTATCTGAAAATTCAACCTTATAAGCTAAGAGGATGAACCAGAAATTAAGCCCAAGATTTTATGGTCCATTTCAGATTATTGAAAAACTCAGTTCTGTGGCTTTTAAACTGCAGTTGCCAGAAGATTGCAAAGTCCATCCTGTGTTTCATATATCTTTGTTGAAAAAAGCTATATCATCTACTACTTACTTTCAACCTCTACCTAAGTGTCTGAATGAAGAATGGGAGTTACAGGTTGTGCCAGAAGAGATTTTGGACACAAGGGTTGATGCAGATGGTAATTGGGAAGTACTGGTTCATTGGACCAATCTACCACAGTTTGAAGATTCTTGGGAGTCAATGAAAATGATCAAAGAACAGTTTCCAGAGTTTCACCTTGAGGACAAGGTGAATTTCCAGGGGGAGTATTGTTAGACATGCAACAAGGCAGTCGGTGGAATTCTATAATAAAGTGTATAAAAGAAGAGTTAATAGGGATGTTGCTATTAACTAATAACTAACGGGTTAGTTAGTTAGTTATTGTCCCTGCGTGGACATTACTGAAGGTAGTTTTTGGACTTGGCTAGAACAGGACTGGGAGATTAGGCATCTCGAATTGTCTTCAGTTGTGTAATCTGATTTGGTGAATAAAGTGTGTGATCTGTGTGTTGATTTTGAACAATTCTGTACTCGATAGTGTATGATCTATCAAACCCAAACGATTGTTCATTAACCCGGTAAGAGATATGTAATTGCTGGCAATAAACAAATGAACTTCTAGTCAGAAACAAATAAGAACTTTTAAAAAAATAATATAAGTACGCAAATGGCCGGATAAAGTGGGCTGTGGGCATGAGCAATTTTGACCCCAAATCTGAACTTGAATTTATATGAAGATCAACTTTAACTTAACACTATCTCTATTAAAATACTATGCCTGTATAAGTATGGTGTATACAAATATTTATGTAGTGTGATAACAAAGACGTGATGAACCTTTGTATAAACATGTCTATGGCACAACAAAGATGTGGACATGAAGATGATGAAGAAAATAGATTAAACAATCTTATTTACATTAGAAGATTATTTATTGAAAGTGTTTATACACTTCGATTAAATGTCGATCAAAGTAGTCACAAATCTATCACCATCAGAGCAGTTGCAAAATTAACATAAAACCTACTTATAATTGTGATAAGATGGATATAAAGGGAATAACATAATTTTGTTAGTCAACCAGGTTAGATGCTTAATTTACCCATATATAGGATATTTATTTTGTGTCCATATGTAAAAGTGTATATACATCTCAATATCCCTAGTTTTTTTTAGAAAATTGGACCAATTTTTATAAAAAATAGAATGGACTCCTCTTCGTGAGATCCAATTGTGTGGTTCAACTGAGAGAGACTAGCTTAGCTTATCCAATCATTGACTGTGATTTCCAATTGTCCCTCTACTTTGTGCTCTGCCCATCATTCTTCAACGCGATCAGCTTGCATACTCAAAAAGAACTACCTGTAGAAATCCATGGCTTCTTCATCAGTTGCACCCATCACTGCTCAGGTAGTCCTCTATCCATCTCTCTCGCTAATTTCGTTCTAGAATTTTGATTTTTCTAATTTTATGCCCTTCAGATATGCTCGATCAAGAATGGTGCTTTTGCTACTCCCCAAGCAGCGATGGCGAAACCAGCGAAGAGCGCCAGCTTGAGGACAAAGGGGTTGAGAGTCAGGGCCATGGCCACTAGTATTCCGGCAGACGATAGAGTGCCTGATATGGGTAAGAGGAAGCTAATGAACTTGCTTCTCTTGGGTGCCATTTCTCTCCCCACTGCTGCGATGGTGGTACCTTACGGATCCTTCTTTGTACCTCCTGGGTGAGTTTTTTTAAGTTCGGTATATGTGACGTGCCTTTACACCCGCAATGAATTCCTGTGTTAGTTGAATTTCTCTCTTTTTTTTTATTTGTGCTGGTGAGATTAAAAGATTGAAACGTGTAGGGGTTTATGAAATCAGATTGCGTACTTGGTAAGTCATACTTAAATACGGTGCGAGCTCTTTTGTATTGTATTGTATTTTATTGTATTGTATTGTATTGTATTGTATTGTATTGTATTGTATTGTATTGTATTGTATTGTATTGTATTGTATTGTATTGTATTGTATTGTATTGTATTGTATTGTATTGTATTGTATTGTATTGTATTGTATTGTATTCATGAATAATGACAAGAGTTTCATTGTAAAAGATAATAAAGAATCATATTTGTTTCGCATTTGTATAGTGTATGAGTTAATGTAGTAATCTATAATACAACTGGCTCAAGAACTAGCTTGGTCATAGCTTTTGGATTATTTCTGCAAAGAAGAATGTATCCTAATACATATCAACTACCTAAGTAATACTGTAAATAATAAAAATAAATTAGTGTCATTGCTCTTGTACACCAACTACCCAAATACTGAGTAACAATAATAGTAAAGAGTATTAGTCCTGTATATACAATACATGCAATATGCAAAGAAGAATGACTACCCTATTCATTTTAATATAATACAGTGAAGTTAGTATAATTGGGGATGCCATATGATTGTTGATAGAACATAGGAGGGACATTTGGTTCACTGGAAAAGAGAGAGAGAGATTGCATTAATATAATAATATGTGATCAACACCCAGTGTAGAAGAGAATGTAAGAGAAGAGGGGGATTGAGCACATCATGCACATTGGGCTTTGCATTATGCAGCCACACTGTTTTCCTATTTTTACGGTGTTGCAAGCATGATAAATTGTGTCAGTTTTTATTGATGATCATAAACTTATTTTACATCCACTGAGATCAGATTAGGAGGTGGAAGTGGCGGCATCATTGCCAAGGATGCCATAGGGAATGACGTCATTGCTTCTGAGTGGCTAAAGTCCCATGGACCTGGAAATCGTACTCTCACTCAGGGATTGAAGGTAGTAGAGATGATTCTTGGTCAGTCAACATTATTTATCCAGCTTTATTGAGATCTGTTTTTTTAATGAAGTTGCATTTTGCTTCATTGTGTAGTTCTTTTTAGTTAGTATTTGTGTATGAATGATCACCTGAAAAAATAGTTTATTTGTCTGAGGTACTTGATTTTTTTTGGGTTTCTTTTGAAAACAGAAAAAATAAATTCAAAAACTATTAGAAATATCTTCTGTGTTTTATCAACTTACATGGAATTCATATAGACCATAATTTCTGAAAACATCATAAAAAGCATATATTTTTATTATTGTTGATATAAATCATGTTTTAAAATATAAACCATAATTTCTGAAAACACAATAAGTACATGAGAATATGTGATGTCACCAAACAAACCCTAGGCATTGATGGTGTACCACCGGTCGTCACTTTGAGGAGAATAGTTTGATTAAATGTGATGAGGGGCGGTGGAATGGATTAAATAGGGAGACCCAACATACCTAGTTGTGGAGAATGACGGGACACTAGCAACGTATGGCATCAATGCGGTTTGCACCCACCTGGGCTGTGTGGTTCCTTGGAATGCTGCCGAGAACAAATTCATGTGTCCTTGTCATGGCTCTCAATACAACAACCAAGGCAAAGTTGTTCGAGGGCCAGCTCCTTTGGTATGCCTTCCCCCAAATCATCCTACACACAATCTGTATCATTTATCCCTTCATTCGTTGTGTGAACCACCCATCTTTTTTACTGGAACAGTCATTGGCCTTAGCTCATGCAGACATTGATGATGACAAGGTAGTGTTCATTCCCTGGGTTGAGACTGATTTCAGAACGGGCGAAGCTCCATGGTGGGCATAAATGTTTTTTCTACAAATCAATTGGCGTCTTCTCATTACACTTGTAGCGAACCCATACCTTCCAACATGCTAGCTTCTCATTACTCTGTAGTAGTAGTAGTACATATGATCGTTGTATTTTTTTCCAAGGGTGAATTGGCAGTTTTTGGGTAACGTGAACTGAGTCACTGACGTTATGTTGGATTTGCAATGCATAAACTTATCTGCCAGTCTACGTTATTATTGTAGGCAACTCGTTAGAATGATATACAATGTATACAATGTAAAGTGTAAGAAAAAAGGTCAGGGAAGGCTCTACAAGATTAAATTGCTTTTAGAAAAATAGAGGGAAAAGAAACCGGACTTGTATGATTTGTGACAAAGAAAAGGTTGTGTTGATCTGACTAAGCAGAATTCTTTTTTATCACATATTGCTAAATTGATGGAATGGGAAAAAGACTTGCTTTGATCAATTAACCAAATGAGACTGAACCATTTGGCAAAAAATGTCTAAAGTTGCATTTAGAGTCCTAGATTTTGCCCAATGTGTAATGTTTACAATTCTATATAAAACCACCCTAAATAAGTTGAAGCGAATGTTTTGTAATTTACAACACCAACTAGAGTTTTTTTTTTTTTTTTTTTTTTTTTTTTTTTTTTTTTTTGTGTGGAATGATGGTCCTTTTTAGCGAGAATTTTTTAATAGGCCACTTTAATTTACATTTGAGGGAAGTAAAAGTTGTATACTCATGAGACCAAGTTAATGCACATTAGTTAGAACTAGTTATCCTACGCGTGCGTTGCACGGGAGTGAAAAATCTACACATGGTTTAAATGAAGTTATATAAAAACCAAAAGTAATTTAATTTGATAGCAATCCAATGAACTAAAATCCATAAATAAAGTTCCAAATAAGATGTCACTATAAAATAAATAGTAAAATTTAGAATTAAAACATCATACCATGACACCGATGTAAGTCCACATAGCTGTTAAGCAAACTTACAAATTATTACTGCGTATAATATTATGTGCATACAATATTCAACAAAGATTTTATTGATCGTCCGTCTTCATCACATATCAGTGATATCACAATGTTCATCTTTGTTATACTGCCAATGTGTACAAATGGAGCGGCAGAGAGTAATGACAATTTTTTTAACAATTTTACCTGCCTCTTAGTAATGATCATTCCATAGCTATCTATGAATTGAACTATCTACTCTAAAAGGTGGACGAAAGCCCAACATGCGATGATGTTAAAATTAGTGCAAGGGCATACAACTATTCATCAAGATTTTCTCTTTGCATGATTTGAGTCTCAATTATATGAGTTGCAATTTGGTCGATCACCACAACTCATTTACCACGTACTCCACACCCCAAAAGGATGGTTTATGTTCATCATAAGCAATATCACATGCACCTTTACTTGGCAAATTGTAACATTTAGTGCCATTAAAGTTTATAAGGAGAGTTTATCTCGTGTAAGATGTCACTTTATGAGCTCGATGAAGAAGCTAAGTTTGAGTTAGATAAGTCTTTAACTCTGAATCTATCTGGCACAACATGTAATCGTTGAACTCATTAACCTCATATATGGTCGAAGCAATAATCGCTCTCAAATAAAGATACACGTATAATTGTGTCGCTCTGAGCTAAGGAGTCAAGAAATAGCTTGAAAAATAGATTTAGCATGACCATTGGAGCAATCATATCATAAGGTGAATCAATGAGTGGCTTTCCATCTTGATTTTCAACAAAAACACCATCACCAATTTGTAAGGAGAGAAGTGTCCGAGAATGATTTTTGAGAGTTAAACAGCTTGTGGAATACTCTCCCTCTCATGACGGTCCGATGAATCGGGGCGTCAAGCCTTTATTCTTTTATTCTGCGGAAATAAAACAGGAAAAACAAGCAGAATGTAAAGAAGATAACATAGCCCCCGGGGTCATGAAGACGCCCGTTATCATCACTATTGAGAGAAACTCTGAAGCGATGGCCTGAAAATGTTGGTGATTCTTATGTTGCAACAGCATGACTTCCTTCCAATCATTGGTCTACATCTGTAATAGATGAGCCCTATGGAAGTTCTCGCGGGTCATGTAGACCTGCAACTGACTCCAAAAGTGCGTCTGTGTCCTAGAAAATTTCAAAACATTTGGTAGTGAGGTAACTAGACACGACGCGATCAATGAAAGTTCAGTGGCATGGGGCTGAGGCCACTGTAGTCAGTATCACTTGCCTCGGAAGGAGACAATAATGAGAGATGCGGTTCCCCGTGAAATATGATTAAGCACCTGTCTGTTGGGAGACAAGTGAGTGGTCTTGGGTAGGGTTAAACATGCACTGTTGGACAAGATGCAGTGACTTCTACCCGGGATCTGATTAAATCAGTCCTGAACCTATTTGGGAATTGTCCAGAGTATTTGAGTGGCTAGGAGTAAATGTTCAGTACATAGCAGGCAGTTGAGGTAGGAGACTCATCATTGATTATTGTTTTCCTTCTCACTTGAACCTTCTGCTTCCTAACTCTCATAATGATTACTCACTCACTCACTCACTCACTCACTCTCGGCTTTGTCCCTTGGGCAGGCTTAGTTGGGTTTACTAAGCCATATGAACATGTTCTCTCATTGATTTTCTCTCTGTACTCCCTCTAAACTAGAGCACTCGGTATGCTTTGTCATTGTTAGGCACCGGGGAGGATAACATTGAATACTCCCCCTAGAATGTTGCATCCGTTGAGAGATTCCTTGTTTTGTCGGTGTAGGGCACTAGGAGGAGAAAACTGAAACCCCCCCTCAGAATGTGCAAGGGTGATTGCTCACAACATGTGTGTGGAGCAATCTGAACAAGTACCACACATGACGGTTTCCCTAAGCTCATCATTTGGAATTTCAGCATGTTTGAGGATCACACAATGTTGACGAGTTAGGGGAGGCTTCAGTAGTTGATTGTTGATTGTTGATTGTTGTAAGATGACCGTTGACGCGAGGTTGATTGAATTATCTACGATTTTCGGACCTCTATAGTGGAGCTTAGACCTTAGGTTTGACTTTGAAAGAATTTGATCAGATTTGCCTAAGTTTTGACCTGGACATCGGTGATTTACAAAGTTTGTCGGAAAACTAACGTTTTGACCCTCAAGGGCTGCGAGTGAGGGCGCGTGGGAAAGGGTTCTGGGGAATACCCTGATAGTTAATGTATATCTTTTCGTTAGCTTTCCAACAAACAAAAGTTTGCTTAAATCGGATCACCGAGTCAAAAGTTATGGCCAAAACAGTTCGGTGTCGCAGAAAATCTCTAATTTTGAGTTTTTGAGGAATTTCTTCGAAGTTGAGGTTCTCGATGTTGAATATTGAGAGCAGGTGGAGTTTAAACAAAATTCTAAGGCAAAACCTTGAAACCCTAATCTCGAGTTTTGAATCTCGAGATCACAATCTCGAGGTTTGAATCTCGAGATCACAATCTCGAGGTTTGAATCTCGAGATCACAATCTCGAGCTTTGAATCTCGAGATCACAATCTCGAGCTTTGAATCTCGAGATCACAATCTCGAGGTTTGAATCTCGAGATCACAATCTCGAGGTTTGAATCTCGAGATCACAATCTCGAGGTTTGAATCTCGAGATCACAATCTCGAGGTTTGAATCTCGAGATCACAATATCGAGGTTTGAATCTCGAGATCACAATCTCGAGGTTTGAATCTCGAGATCACAATCTCGAGGTTTGAATCTCGAGATCACAATCTCGAGGTTTGAATCTCGAGATCACAATCTCGAGGTTTGAATCTCGAGATCACAATCTCGAGGTTTGAAACTCGAGATCACAATCTTGAGGTTTGAAACTCGAGATAACAATCTCGAGATTACAATCTCGAGGTTTGAAACTCGAGATAACAATCTCGAGGTTTGAATCTCGAGATTACAATCTCGAGGTTTAAAACTCGAGATTACAATCATGAGTTTGCCTCGAAGAATAATGGCGAAATCCACCTGCAAAACAAACCTCAGAATATCGAAATCTTCAGAATTTCAAAATGTTTGGAACATCGAAAACTTTAGAGTTTCGAAAACCTCAGAAAATCGAAAACTTGCTGTTTGAAAAACATAAGAACATCGAAAACTTCTAAAAACTTTGAAAAACAGAGATTCATCCAAAAATCTTATAATGTAAAGCTTCGAAGTGTTCTGAACAGGAAAGATATCAAGTTTAGAAGAAATCAGTGATTCAAGAAACTCCAAACTTTGAAAAATTCAAAACATCGAGAAATTATGAAAATCTCGAAATCTTAAGAATGTCGAGATCCTAAACATCGAGATCCTAAATGTCGAAATCCCAAAACTCGAAATTCGAAAAACTCAAAGTTTCAAAACTCGAAATTTCAAAACTCGAGATTTCAAATCTCGAAATTTCAAAACTCGAAATTTCAAAAGAGATTTCAAAACTCGAGAATTCAAAACTCGAAATTTCAAAACTCGAGATTAGGAACTCGAGGCCCTAAATGTCGAGATCCTGCAAAATAAAAACTCTGATTTTTGAAAATCTGAAACCTGTTCTGAATAGCCCTGAAGGTCGAGATTCTCCTGTATCAGTTTCAAGTCAAAAACGTTTCTGCAGCCATGTAAAATCAGAAAACTCGAGATCCTAATGTAGAGATCTTCGAGATTGAAAAATTACAGAAATCGAAAAACAAGATATGTTGCTGGATCGGTTTTGAAAGGTGATCCCAACAGTATAATTTTTATAAAATTTCGTTCACAAACAAGATTACAGGAGCAAATCTCTACATCAAAGAAAAACAGAAGAAAAGCAGAGCAGTTCTTCGTTAGATCCAAAAAATCGCAGATATATTCAACCTGTTTCACGCCTCGGCTCTGATACCAATTGATAGTCCCGAAACATAACAATCAAACAATCATAGCAGGTATAAAGAAGCAGATAGAAAGTTATCAAGATTAACAACACCTTTGGTATACCGTGATGAACGTCGCTGCTCTCCCTCGAGAGAGAGAGAGAGCAGCGGAAACCTAATCTCTCTATCTCGCATCTATGCTCTCTAAGCCTCGAACGTTTTGGTTCCCGTAAGTTAGCCTCCTTTTATAGGAGAAGTTGGCTAACTTACGGGTTACAAGGAAGCTAACGGGCCGATACATATTTGTGGCCCGTATTACACATTTAATTAATAACTACACAAATACAAAGATATTTATCTAGATTGAACACCATAAAATATTTCGAACAGGATAAATCCAAGTATAACGAGAAAAATCATCAATGAAACACACATAATACTTGAATCCCAAATTTGAATACACAGGTGATTGCCACACATCAGAATGAATAATTTCAAGTGGAAAGACCGAATTATGACTAGCATCCATAAAAGGCAAACGTTGTGATTTTCCTAAATGACAAGCCACACACTCATGAGTAAAGGGAGTATGACTACATAAGAATGATTTTCTCTTAAGAAACTTTAAAATACTATCACCGCAATGACCTAATCTACGGTGCCACACAGGGCCAGAAGCTAAAACAGAAGCAAAAACTAATGGTGATGAGGG